GGACTGGCGTCCTTATGGGGGGGGGGGACGCGAGGTGTGCACTCACACAGAGGACAGGCCATGTGAGGACACGGTGGGGCGTGGGGGTGGGGGGAGGCGGTAGTCTGCAGGCCAGGAGGAGAGCCTCGTCAGGAACCCACCGGGCCGGCACCCTGATGTTGGACTTGCAGCCTCCCGGACTGTGAGAAATGCATTCCTGTGGTTTAATCCCCCAGTCTGTGGTGTGGAGTGAAATAGAGTACCATTCTCATGAGTTTCTTAAATCAGATTTCATTATAACACCAAACAGTATAACACCCACCTGGTGCAATGCTCAGGGTATGCAGAGGAAATACAATTTCTTTAAAAACTGGAAAGGGTATAGGGACCTAAATGGAGGTAAACATTCAAAGCTTCACTTGAAGCGGTAAGACTTTGATACGAGGAGTCAGAGGTAAGTCACTTCTATATTGTAATATCTAGAACAACCACACAGAAAACAATACAAAGTGAGATGATCAAAAAACATTGTAAGTACATAAAAATGAATTCTAAAAATGCCAAGGTAATCTGCAGAAAGGCCAAGTAGAATTTCCAGATATGCAGAGCTGGTTCAATATTCAAAAATTAGTCAGTGTAAACCACCTTATCAATAGGCTAAGAAATCAATTTATGCAGAAAAGCATTTGACTGAATCCTACACCCACTCATATAAAATCTCTCAGCTGCAAACTAGGAATAAGAGAGGAACTTCCTCAAGACTTAGCAGATATGCCCAAATGAGTTTTGATAAAGATGCAAAAGCAATTCAGGGGAGGAGGGATAGTCTATTCCACAAATAGCGCTAGAGCAAATTAACTGTAGGGGGAGAAAAGCTTTCTCAAGAAAACATACACTCATGACCAGGCGGGGTGTATCCCAGGTGTGCGAGGCTGGTTCAGTATTCACAAATCAATTAATGTAATCCATCAGATCAACAGATGAAATAGATGCAAAAAATCATTTGACAAAATCCAACACCAATTCATGATAAAAACTCTCAGCAATGTAGAACTAGAAGGGAACTTCCTCAGGGCACCTGGCTAGCTCAGTCTGTAGAACATTTGGGGTTGTGGATTCAAGCCCCATGTGTGGGTAGGGTTTATTTTTTTAAAAGGGAAATTTCCTTATTGATAAAGAACATCTACAATTAACCTGATGCTTAACAGTGAGAAACTAGACGCTTTTCCCCAAGAGTGGGAACAAAGCAATATGTCTCCCCTCACCACTCGTAGCCAACATAGTACTGGAAATCCTCGCTAATGCAGTAAAGGAAGAAAAGGTATACAGATTAGGAAGGAAGAAAGAAATCTGTCTTTGTTTACAGATATTTTGTTCACGATTGCCTATGTAGAAAATCCCAAGCGTTAACCCCCTCCAAATGCCTGGAATTAGGTGATTATACCAAGGTTATAAAATACAAAGTTAATTTACGAAAAGCAATCAATTTCCTATATACTATAGTGAACAATTAGAATTCGGAGTTTAAAACACAATACCATGTATATTACCACCTAAAAAAGTACTCAGGAGTAAATCCAACAAAATATGTATGAGATTGATAGGAAAATTACAAAACTCTGATGAAAGAAATTAAAGCTCTAAATAAATGCAGAGATACTTCACATTTAGAGATGGGAAGACTCAGTACTGTTAAGACACGAGTTCTTCCCAACCTGATCTATAGATTCAGTACAATCCCAGCAAGAACCTCACCAAGTTCTTCGGTGAATGTCAGCAAACTGACTCTGAAGTTTATATGAAAAGTCAAAAGACTCAGAAAAGCCACCACGATAGTGAAGAAGAACAAAGTCAGAAGACTGACACTCCCCAACTTCAAGATTTACTGTAAGGCTACAAAAATTATGATGGTGTGTAATTGGTGAACAAATACATCAGCGGGACAGAATAAATAGCCAACACATGGATCTACACAAACACAGCAACTGATCACTGACAAAGTCTTTTCAAGAAATAGAACAACAGAACATCCACATGAAAGCAAAAAGAATCTAGGTAAAGAGCACGAACCCAAACTCAAAAAGGATCACAGACCCACGCGTAGAATGCAAGCCTCTAAACCTCTAGGAGACCCTACAAGAGAAACCCAAGTGACCTTGGTTGGCGATATGTTTTTAAGGTACTACCCTAAAGACAACACAGTCCATGAAAGAAGAAGTTGGTAAGTTGGATTTCATTAAAATTAAAGCACCTGCTCTGTGAAAGACACTGACAGACTGAAGACACAAACCCAGACGGGGAAGAAAAATTTGCAAAAATATACCTGAGGACTTGCATTGAAAATACACAAAGCGGGGCACCTGGAGAGCACAGTCGGCTAGGCATCTGACTCTTGGTTTCAGCTCAGGTCATGATCTCAGGGTCGTGGGATCGAGCCCCACGTAGGGCTCCGTGCTCAGCGTGGAGTCTGTTTGGGATTCTCCCCCTCTCCCTCTCCCTCCCCCTCTGCCCCTCCCCCTGCTCATGGGCACTGTCTCTCTCTCTTTCCCTCTCTCAAATAAATAAAGAAAAGAAAATACACAAAGAACTCTTAAAACTTAACGAGAAAACAATACAATTAAAAAATGGGTCAAAGATCTTAACAGATACCTCACCAAAGAAGATGAACATTGGCAAATAATCATATGAAAAAATGTTGCACATCATGTCATCAGGGAAATACAAATTAATTACTACTACACACCCAATAGAACGGCCAAAATCTGGAACACAGACACCAGCTGAAGGACGTGGCACAACAGGAAGTTTCACTCGTTGCTGGCGGGAACGCAAAATAGTGCAGCCGTTTGGCAGTTTCTTACACAACTACACATGCCCTTACCATAAGATTTAGCCATTGTGCCCCTTGCTATTTACCCAAAGGAGCTGAAAGTCATGTCCATGCAAAAACCTGCACACAGATGTTTGTGGCAGCTTTATTAATCATTGCCAGAACTTGGAAGCAACCACGATGTTCTTCAGTAAGTAAATAGATAAAATGAACTATCAAGCCACGAAAAGACATGAAGGAGCCTTAAATAATACTACTAAGTGAAAGGGGCCAGTCTGAAAAAGCTACCTGCTGTATGATGCCAGCAATAAGACATTCTGAAAGAGGCAAACTGTGGAGACAGATGATGGATGTGTGCTGGGGGCTGAGGGTGGGAGGGACGAATAGGTGGAGCACAGAGGATTTCAAGGGCAGTGAAAATGACTGTAGGATATTAAAATGACGGATAGAGGACATCACACATTTGTCAAAACCCATAGAATGAGCGAGCACCAAGAGTGAACCCTCATGTCAACTGCGGACTTCAGTGAAGAGTAACAAATGTGATCATTTTCTCTTCACCTTGGAGGATCTGGATTAGGCTTTTCTTTTTAACTCTCTGCAAGGTGGCAGCCTACCGGCCATTTGTCACAACAGAAACGCCTGCAAATTTAGGTCACTTTCTCTGCCTAGAATAACGGCGTGTAATTCATCTGACATTGAAATCTTCCAAGTGACCCTCTTAGAAGCAGCCAGTAACCTCCATGTGGCACGTAATGCTGTGGACACAGCCCATGTCATGACACATGCCATTAGAGCAAAAGCCCCATATCTTGAGCTTGGGCTGCTGCCTGGGCAGTGGACGTGAGAACAGCTCCCTCGGGGGGCTGCTCACCCACCCGCACAGAAATATTTCAGTGCATCAGCAACTGGGATAGCTTATACCCACACGTGCGGACCGACGGCCGCCCACAGGTAAACGTAGATTTCATCGTAGAAACAGGTGCTGGCGGATGCACAACCTGAGACTCTTGCAGAGGGCTTGCTTCCTGCCTAACATAAAACAAAACTCTCACGATGGAAATCCACTGCAATGCTCATTTCCTCAGATCTGCAGCAGGGTTTCCCGCATGCCATCCAACAGCACATGTATTCTCGTGAGTCAACCCACTGTGTTCTGTGTATTATTTCCAGTATTTTTATCTCAGTCGAAGGCAAAGTTTTCACGAATGATACAAGACTTTTTCATCCTTCTCTAAGGAAGAAGCCTCAGGAAGAGACTTCTTAGTGATCCTCACTAAGTTTCAGTAAAACTCTGTGAAGTATCATACGGAAGAGTGCATGATTTCAAAAGTCCCGGGGAACTAGAGCAGTTAAGTAGAAAGTTCCCAATGCTTCCTTTTAAATATCTTGCTAAGCCTCGAAGACCTCACGGGGTCATTAGCCAGTCTCCCCAAAGCGCAGTGTGCACTGAGGGGAGGTTTGCCTGCATGGGAGAGGGGGATATAAATGTACATTTTCAGCAGGGTTTCGGTCATTGTTTTCCTGGCTTAGCCTCTGATTACATTGTCATGTCACACCCCCCCTGGCCCCCGCTTCTTCATAAAGCTGACCAGGAGTTCATCCTAGGCCCCAAAGGCTGTCCTTTTTGCCATTTTCTGTGGCTTCATGCTGCATTGAGACCACCAGCAATGTGTGGAGAAGCATAATCTGTAAGCCCACTTAACCAAACACGGAAACAGTGGTGTGTCCCAGGGACGGGGGCACTGTCTGTCCCACCGGGTGGCCTCAGGATCGATCGTGCGCTTACAGTAGGAGATTTTTTGTTAAAGAATCCCCCAAATACCACTTTTGCTCTGGAAAGTGTATAAGCTCCAGACCCCACAAATCGTGGGCACCCAGTGACTGAAGACACACCAGGCAGAGAAGCCGCCCGTGTATTAAATATTAGTGACACTTAACACTTTTGTGTTTTTAGAAAAAACAGTGTTCGTGGAAGTTCTCTTCCTCCCCTACACGGGCAATGGTGAGCGCCCTGCTTTGGAGCACACGAACGCACACGCTTGGATTTCAGGGTTCTGTCTCCTTCGGAGGGGAGGGAGTTCTCTCCGAAGCGGCGAGCCCTCGGGCAGGGCGGCCCACACCCTGGGCACCACGGCACGCGGAGCCGTTCCGCAAACTCCCGCGAGTCAAGGGCCATCGAGCAGTGATGTATTCGGTTCAGTAAGTGTTTCCACGAACCTGCCGCGTTTTGAGGAGATACGAAAGGAATACAAGGGTTCCGCCCCGTAGGGTTTGCGAGCAGCTGGGGAGAGAAGAGCAAGGTGAGTCCGAGCACTGCAACCTGAGTGTCAGCAGGCGGCGGGGGCTGTAGGCGTTCGGGGAAGGTGGGGAGCAGTGTGGGACGGTAGACCATCAGATAATCATATCAGGAAGACTCATCTGCCCTGATGTGGGAGGAAAGGAGAGAGGGGGATGGCTCTAGCAGCTCCTACAATGGGGGCCGAGTCAGGCTGAGCCGCTCGCATGGGGAACTCCAGCCCCGCCCCCACCCCCACCCCCGGCCCTTTACAGAGAAAGCAAGCAGACCCCCCTGAAATTAAAAATAATAAGCCCCAAACCTTCTACTAACCACCGGTTCTAACTGACCTGTGAATCCCTTAAACTTTTTTTTCCGTCAAGTACTTTTTCCTTTCTAATGGGTACAGCTGATGTAAATACGACCAAGTGCCTGGGCCTTTCAAGTTGGTTTCCTTAATCAGGCCGGGCAGATAAATGGTGTGGAGGGCCCGGGCGGGCGGGGCAGGCGGCAATCCGGCCCGGGGCTTCCTGTTGTTCCAGCATTAACATACCTGCTCCCCGGATCAAAGAGAGCCTTGCCTTCCCTGCGTGCTCTCAACAGGGGAGAAAAAAGTCTAATATAATTAAAAATAAGCTGCAATTTGGTATGATCTGAAACTGACAGTTTGTTACCAAGGATTAAGATTTATGGAGAGCAGCTGACTGAGGACCAATTTAGAATTCTCCTGAAACGTGAACCTTTTCTGTAGAGAATTCACTCTCTTTGTGTCTGCTAAGACATTTTCCCAGATCCCCTCATTCCATGTGTAGAAACCATTTCCAAGGCGGACGCCACTGCATTTTCCTCCTACAACACATGCGGGCGGCCCAGAGCGCAAGTATTTTCACTTTATGAAACATGATCCCATTGACTAAAATAATAGGAAAAAAGAAATAAATATGTAAGAGTGCATTTTACGTGTCAGACTCTGTTGGATGGCTTTATTACATTTATTCTTTCACTCGCTTATTCACTCCATAATGATTTATTGAGTTGGTCGGACCCTGGGGCCGCCATAGTGGGCCCGATGGGAGCAACAATGGCAGGATTCCTGTCTCCAGGGAGCCATGGTTCACCAGGGGAGACAGAACCATGCCCACAGCTCTGAGTGAGTGAGTGCCCCCAAGGACGGGGACCCCAGCCCCGAGAACCTAGTGCAGGAAGAGGACATGCCCCGGAGAGTGAGGCCAGGCCAACACAGGGAGGAGGGGGGCAGGAGGAGAAGCACGTGTAGTCCCTGGGAAGAGGGGCTCCGAGCACTGCAGGGACCCAAAGCCTAGGGAGGCGGGAGATGGGGACAGAGCCCTGTGGACCACATCAGAGTTTCCATCTTTATCTCAAGAGCACGGGGAGACACCGAGATGTTTTGAAGAGGAAGCTGACATTCCTAGATGTGTTTTTAAAATCACTATCCAATTGAAAATCGTCGTAAGGAGCCCGAGAGTGGACTCAGGGAGGCCACTGGTCCAGGCAGCAGGTCACAGGGGCCTGGCCCAGTGTGGGGACCTGAGAGGTGTTGGGAGTTTGGGGTATGAGAACAAGTTTGGGGGTACATCAGATGTTGGGGGAAGGAGGGGTATAGTAGGGATAAACTCCCAGGCTTCTGGGGGGCTGCCACACGCTATCATCACAGTGATGTGTAGTTTCACCCTTGCTGGGGGCAGCCAGAAAGTGGCAGAGACAGAAGTAACTTTCCCAGGGCCTCATAGCTGGGGGAGTGGGGGACGGGGGCTGGTTCCCACGTGGCCCGTCTGCTTCTATCACCACGCGGCCTCCCCAGCATGGGCATCCCTGAATCTCCCTGGAACCCCACTGGTGAGCCTAGGATCCTCTCTAAATACACCGACAGGTCCCAGGTCAGGCTGAGCCCGTGGCAGGCCCCTCGGTGGGCGGCTGTGTGGCTCCATCCACCATCAGCCCTCTGTGCTTGCTCCCCACTGAAGCCAAGTGCAGTCACAATCCGAGTTTTATAATTTAGTGAACCTTTCACAATATCTCATAAGATATGACTATTAAAGAGAGTTATTTCTGAAAACCAAAACCACCATGCTGACCACTTTGGGGAAAACGTGATAAAGGTATGTCACTGAAGAAACTGCCAGCCAGTTGGTGCAGGTCGAAGCGGAGAGTTTGGATGGCTTCCGCCCTTGGGCTGGCTGCCGGGGCACTGAAATCATCATGCACCGGGAAGGCTAGGATGCAAACAATGCATCTAGTTGTGGAGGACGCAAACAAAACCGCACCAAACCAATCAGCAGAACCAGCCTCCAAGGACAAACCTTGCTCCCCGCCCAAAAGTCATGGCATGAATATATGATTGTGTATTTCCTTTAAACATTTTACATTAAGTGATTCAAGAACAAACCAACTTTTAATATTAACTGACTGCCAACCAATCCAGATGGCTCTATAAATTATTATTATCTGGGCCACTAATCTCTAGGTTCCCTCTACTTAATCAACTACACCTTAGGAGTGCTATCTAAAATGTGAGTCCCACATGTAGAAAAGTAACAAGGGGGGATTCATCCTGTGTGATACTGTAAAGTACTGTCACAGAAATCAGAATACAGAATCAAAGTACAGAAAAAGACCCAACTATCTTTGAAAAGGTAGCATGTGACAGAGAATGAATTCTCTAACAAATGGCTTTAAGACAAATGGCTGAATGTTTTGGAAAGATAATGTCAGATTTCAACCTCATCATCAAATAGATGTCGAAAATGAAATTATGAGAGTAGTGCACAGGATAAATGGGAGGTTTCCAAGCTCGGTTGAGGGGTAGGTCCTAGGCGTCCTTATGTTTTCCAGCTCCTCAGAGGGCTCCAATGTGCAACCAAAGTAAAGATCCACAATACAAATCAATATTAATATAATATTTGCCTTGGGAAGATAAACAGCATAAGAAAAAGATTGAAGCATTTCAGTGACCTCAGAATTAAAACTATCGGTTAATTCCATAAATTAAAAATAAGGCATTAAAAGGTAAATAACAAACTTGTAACTTTTCACAACTCTATGACAGACGCAAAGTTAATATTCCAATATGATGAGATCGTACAAATCAAAAAGAAAGTGGACCATCAGAATGCACACACTCAACGCACACATACACAGCTGCTCATGAAACTGATGTGTGAGATACATAGCAATGAAATAGTGAAGTTGTGTTCAAGCTCACTAGTAATAAAAGATGCAAAACTAAACACTTTTATTTCTAATATTGGTAGAAAATGATTTCAGCTCAGATCATGATCTCAAGGTGGTGAGATCGAGCCCCACGTCAGGCTCCGTGCTGGGTGTGGAACCTGCTTAAGATTCGCTCTCTCCCTCTCCCACTCCTCTCTCTCTCTCCTAAAAAAAAAAAAAAAAAAAAAAAAGAACAACAAAAAACCATAACAATGACTCAATAAACCTTCAACAGTAAGTAAGCTGTGGTTGGAGCACAGAAGCCTGGAGAAGCCCGTGTTCTGTTTCTCTGGCTACAAAGTATAACATTTCAGTTGTGTTACAGAACTTTCTGCCATGCTGCGCTGGGGATCTGTCCTCTCCTCTCTCTGTCCAGTGCACTAGCCACTAGCCACGCACACAAACTGAGCACTTGATGGGGCGCCTGGTGGCTCAGTCGGTTAAGCATCTGCCTTTGGCTTAGGTCATGATCCCAGAGTCCTGGGATCCAGCCCCACATCGGGCTCCCTGCTCAGCAGGAGCCTGCTTCTCCCTCTGCCTGACACTCCCCTTGCTTGTGCTCATAAATGAATACAATCTTAAAAAAAAAAAAAGAAAGAAAGAAATTGAGCACTTGAAATGTGGCTGGTGCAACCAGGGCACTGAATTTAATGTTACTTAACTGTATTAAGTTTAAACAGTCAGACATGACTAGTGGCTACCGTACTGGACAGAAGAGATCTCGACTGTCTTGTTTTTCCAAATAGGGAAGCTGAATCCCAGGAAGTGAATGACTGCTTTGAAGTCTTACAACTAAGTAGGGAGAGACCACGCACATCAACAATGGTATCATACAGACCTATGGACTCGTTTCCAGGGTAATTCCACCCTACACAAAAGGGTGCAAGGATTCGTATTCCTTTGAATACTTTTGAAGAAAAAGTGAGAGAATTACGAGATTCTTTGTTCTCCCTAAATTCTCTGCTGGCCTCAAACAGCTTTTTGTGATGATCTTAATTCTTATTTTAGAATGTAACATCTAAGAGTCTAAATCTGATCCATTTTGTCCAAGTTTCATTTAACAGACTAGAGTTAAAATGAAGGAAGTCCCATCTGGAAATCACAAAGCTGTCAAATATGAAGTGTGTCGTGTAATTTGAAAAGACTTCTGGGGCGCCTGGGTGTTGCAGTCGGTTAAGCGTCCAGCTCTTGGTTTCAGCTCAGGTCACGATCTTGCGGTCACAACATCGAGCCCCGCACCAGGCTGTGCACTGAGGGCGGAGTCTGCTTCAGATTCTCTCTCTCTCTCCCCCACTCTGCCCCTCTCCTCTCTCTTAAATAAATAAATAAAATCTTTAAAAAAAAAGACTTTCATGCTTCTCTCACACACACCTTCGAACTGGGGACTCAAACCCTACAACCTGTAGGTCTCCAGAAGAGCGATGCTATTGAATCCATATGTGTGCATGCATGTTCACTCGCACATGAGCGCAAGTATGCACACAAGCACACGCATGCACACACGTATGCACACACGTATGCACAAGAGCACACACATGCACACATCCCTCCAGGACATTTCATGCTAAGTTGTATAAAACTGACAGAACAACTAAAATCCTGGAGTTATTTTTTTTAAAAAAGAAAAATCCTGGGCGCCTGGGTGGCTCAGTTGGTTAAGTGACTGCCTTCGGCTCAGGTCATGATCCTGGAGTCCCAGGATGGAGTCCCATGTGGGGCTCCCTGCTCAGCAGGGAGTCTGCTTCTCCCTCTGACCCTCTTCCCTCTCGTGCTCT